GAAGAGTGGAATATTGTTGAGTAGACGATGGTAGTTTTCGAACTGTAACACCTGCTTTCATGCATATAAGACGATCAATCGATGGATGAACGTATCGTTCATCTTGTTGAGACGATACTAGAACGAATAGAAAAAACGAGAAAATATTAGAATAATAATAATTATTCTTTATAATTGATCTGGATAATATCAGATTTTTGATTAAAACTGTCTAAAATCTGAATTGATATAATTTCTATTTGAAATTCTAGTGTTGACACTCAACATTCGAACAATCCTTCTCTTTTTCTCCGAAAATTCTTAATTTGTGGAATAATTATTGGAAAAAATAATTCTTCATCACGTATACTAAATTATGTTGCAAAGTATTAAAGAAGTAAAATATTGGAAGTAGTTTTTTGTAATACAATATCTTTGTTGATCTTGTATTAGACATTTGCAGTATAATGCAAGATAGCCATTGAAAAACGAAGTAGAAAATATTTCGAAGATAAGAGAAAAACAAGGAAAGAGAGAATTTTTAGCGTGTAACGGGAATATTATATCATCTAAAAATTTAGTTTGTTCTCCTTCGATAATCAGACAAAATTTAAACAAACTCTTCTCTTAAAATTATGACGAATATTGGTTATTCTCAAACATTTAACTTTTCTATTATTTAAAAAACGTCTCCACATAGAATTTCTTTTTAAAAATATAAAATAAAAAAAAAGAAGTTTTTTCTCGTCTACAAAGATTGACAGTTAACATTTGCTATGAGAAACGCATGCTGACACCAAATATATTGATGAATTAAAAACAAATAAATACTAGGATGTAATAGAATACTCGTTGCAGAAAGAAGAAGAAGAAAAAAAAATAAGAAACCTGGAGTTTTCTTAATGTTTTGTCTTCTATTCAGGTAAAAAAAAATGTAATTTTGAAACTGAGTACACACACACACCTGTATAAATTGTGTCTTCCATGTAACTAACGCACGTACATACACACACACACACACACACACACACATACACACAAATGCCATTAGAAAAAAAATAATAAAAAAATAAAACATTAAAAAGCACCTGACTTTTTACCTCTTTATTATAGGACAATCATCCACTAACATTAAATATTTAAACTGCGCTATTTACTAATTGTAAGCAAAGGATGATTAATTTTAAAAAAAATAACTTAAAAATAATCAAGTTTAATGTTCGGTTTCTTTATATAGATTTATAATTATTTGTCAAGGAAAAAATAACAACAACGAGTTAATCAAAACATAGGTGTTATTTTTGTAATTTATAAAAAAAATACTTTACCTAATGGTTGTTCGAATGGATAAAAATAGAGTGTATTTCCTTGATGTAATACACTATCAACATTTGGTAAATAGAATGGTGTTGTTAATGTTGGTGAATAATTTGGAAAAATATCTAAAATAAGTTGATAAACTGTTTGTAATAATGTAAAATCATCTTTATCCAATGGTTTTGTTTGATATTTTTTCTTAATTAAATCTATAATAATTAATAAATCTTTATATTCTAATTGAATTTTTATTTGTAATAAATCAAGATAAAAATGTTTATATTGTTTATGTAATGTAATTGGTACTTGATAATAATAGGGTTTTAAATTAGATATAAAGGTAGAATTTCTTGTTGGTGATTGCCATAAAAGTTGATTAAGAGATAAAAAGAGATAGGATGATGATGATGTTTCATTTAAATCAACTGGAAAATAGATGAGACGACGTTGTTGAAAATAATCACGAATATCACGAATTGCTTGTTCTAATTGTAATGGTGACATAGATGATGAACGATAATCAATTTCAGTGAGATAATGATGTGTATGAGATAAAGATTGTTGTTGAGTTTGTAAATGTGGAAAACAATAATATTGTATATAATCATAGAGATTGTAACACATATCTAAAAAACGAAAAAAAACAAAAAAAAAACAAAAATATAAGAAAACAATGAAATCATTTTGAAGTTGAAATTCTTACCTAATATATATTTTGAACTTGTTTGATGATTATAATTAGCTCCTGTATTATTACCAGTAACTGATAATTTTGATATTTCATCTAATTGTTTAAGTACATCTCTTAAATCAATTTTTGTTGTATCATTTAAACCTAAAAATTGTTCAATTTGTTTTGTTATTAAAATATGTTCGGTTTTTTGTATTTTTGATAAATCATAATGTTGAACAATTGGCCATGAACTTCCAACTAATAATTCATATTGTTGAGATAATAAATCTTTTGGTTTTAATAAACGATTATGATATTTATCACCCATCCATTGTATATTTAAATAATTTAATTCAATTGGACGAATTTTAACTGGTAAAAATGAAATATCTCTTAATTGAAGTGATGCTCGTTGACGAGATTCTTTATCATAAAGTGATGCATCACATAAACTCATTGAACCATTTGATGGTACACCATTATTATACATTGTTAACATATCATTTAAAATTGTTAATAATGCAATTGATCGTTCATAGGCTAATTCATAATCACGAATACGTTGAATTGATTGACATCGTTCAATTAATTCTTGCCATGTAACAAAATTATCATCACATTTCATACCTATAATAAAATAAATAAATTATTTTTATCTATTTATTTTTAAAATTATAAAATAAATAATAAATATTTTTTACCTAATAATTTTAAAACATTTAATCTATCATCTCTTAAATAGGAATCTTGTCCACCATATGGAAATAATCCATCAATATCCGAATATAATTGAGCTAATTTACAATGTGGATGAATTAATTTTGATGGTTTTCTTAATGTTCGACCATTGGGTGTACATGGTATACAACAATGTTCTTTTAAAATATTTAACATTAATGTATCTGAATGATCAATAGCAAATAGTACAAGAGAATCTTTTATATTTTTTGATAAAACATTTAAATTTGGTAATAATAAATCATTATAAATACGATAATGATCATAGAGATTCTTTTGATATTCTAAACCAGACATTTTTCGAATAAAATAATCTTCTTCGGAGAGTAATTGAATTTTTTTCTCTTTAATAATGGTAGTCAGAGCTTGAACCAATGTCTCTTTAACATTATTTTGTTGTAATTGTTTATTAAATATATCTAAATAAATAATAAAAATTTCAAGAAATACATTTTATATGAAAATGAAACATATCAGAGTGAAGATATTCAAAGGACCGTTCAAGTCTCTTCAACTTGGAGGTTGGTTATAAAATGACATAACCTCAAGCAAAAAAAGTAGATATCATAGTATTACATTATAGCTTATCTTAACTTTTCAATGCATACCAAAATTAAATTTTCAAATATTTCTAAATATTGGAGTGAGGTCACACACCCCCACCTCCCCCCTACACACATCCACGTTCGAAATCGCCCTGGATATTCAGTCAAGAAAGAAAAACAAAATTGTTTTTTTCTACCGCAACCTTTATTTTAGATTTTTCTTTGTCTATATGGGATTTATTGATTGGGCAACAGTTTGAGACACAACAGTGTAAACCGCTCGAAAATCATCAGTTAACCGAGATTATTTCAGCTGAAACCATAGCAACACAGCATAAGAACTGATGGTTAAGCGCCTAGTTAACCGGAAAAACGGTCGGCTAGCCGCGGTTATTTCCGGTTAACTAGGCGCTTAACCATCAGTTCTTATGCTGTGTTGCTATGGTTTCAGCTGAAATAATTTCGATTAATACTAGAACGTCTTTTCATGACCTAGAACGCCCAAAGCGGTCATTGTGACCGTTACTGTTTTTTTTAAAATTTTATACTTAAAAATGGTTCTGAATTCAAAAATGAATGAAAATTCTGCAAAAAATAATTTTTGTGGGACAAATTAAAAGTTATGACATAATTTATTTTTAAATAAATTGTATACAGTTTGTTTTATTAAGGATAAAAATCACAAAACGGTCAAAATGACCGCTAC